CTTCTTCTTCTTCTTCTTCTTCTTCTTCTTCTTCTTCTTCTTCTTCTTCTTCTTCTTCTTCTTCTTCTTCTTCTTCTTCTTAAACAGAAGTAGAGACGTTTATGATTGAAAGAGGTCGGGATTGCTTGGTATCAGAAGAAAACTTAGGAAGAAAATGGCTGCCAAAGTTTGGTGATTGTCCTTGGAAACAGTGAGTTTACACATTTGGGGCATTTGCTCAACGTTCTTCCAGAAAAACAACAAAGAAATGTGTTTTAAAAAGACATAAAAGGATTTGAACCAAAAATAAAAAAAATAGATAAAAATTTCTAAACTTGCAATGAAATGCCAGTATCTTCTATTTCATCATTTTGACGAGCGCCTGATTTCTCCTCAATTTATTCAACAAATACACTTCACCTAGATAACTCGCAAACATCACGTGGAGATGAAGCAGCATGAGCCACGTCATGCTGAAGAAGCGGAGTCCATGAATACAGCTGATGGCGCCAGGGGCCTCTTTGGTAGACAGGATTTTCTGGGCGTTGGAGTAGACGGAGAAGGAGAGCAGGACCTGCAGGACGAATTCTGGGACACAAAGGGTGAAAGGTCATCATAAGAAATTTTGCCATGGGACACAATGGGTGAAAGGCCTTCTTAGAATCTTCGCCAGGCATCAAACCAAGCGCATTTTAGGGGCACAAAGGGTGGAAGGTCGTCTTATCTATCTATCTATCTATCTATCTATCTATCTATCTATCTATCTATCTATCTGTCTGTCTGTCTGTCTGTCTGTCTGTCTGTCTGTCTGTCTGTCTGTCTGTCTATCTATCTATCTATCTATCTATCTATCTATACCATAAAGAATCATCAATGCGCGGTTAGAGAAAAATTGCTGACCCAGCAGCGAGATGACCAATTATTAGTCACTACCTCATCTGTCTTCTGCTTGGTCCGACACAGTGTCCATGAGAAAGGCACTTTCCTCGAAATTTTCCACTTGGCTCAGTCCTTTCGGAGATTGAGATAGACGTTAAACTCGAAGATCCCGCCTCTTAAATAACCTAACATTGATAATAGGGGCGTTAAACCTATACCATTTCACCATTTCATAAATTTCATTTTCTCATCAGTTACCCTACTCACCCCAAAAGGGACTCGGTGGTGCATAGTTCTCGGAACGCCCCGAGAGAGCAGATGTCTCCCCTGCCCGGTCCTCTTGTTCTGGCTTGTCCTGCCCCGATTTTTGGGGTTCTTGTCCTTCAGACGGCGTGCTTTCCTTGTGGGTGAGACCACGTGACTTGACTCTCTCAGCCTCCCAGGCCGGCCACTGGACGTAAGCGACGTCAACTACGGTGCCCGCGATCATCAGTGCGCCAATAATTGAGAAGAATATTCTGGGGATTTTTAGAATACGCTTTGAGAAAATCGGATTTATTTTGTAAGAGTGGAAGAAAGTTTTTCTGTTTGTTTGTTTGTTTTTGTCTGTTTGTTTGTTTGCTTTTCTAACTTGCTAAAGGGAGATTCTAATTAAGTTAGAATCTAGTGTGTGCAAACCAAAGATTTCCTGTCCTCAAAAATGGGAATGGACAATCTAACATTATGTTTTATTTTTCTGCCTGATTTTCATAGATCTTCTACGTCCTTTTTCTTCCTCTTCCTCCTCCAACATCCTCTCTCTCTCTCTCTCTCTCTCTCTCTCTCTCTCTCTCTCTCTCTCTCTCTCTCTCTCTCTCTCTCTCTCTCTCTCTCTCTCTTTCTCTCTCTCTGCCTTTCTGTCTATCTATCTATCTATCTATCTATCTATCTATCTATCTATCTATCTATCTATCTATCTATCTATCTATCTATCTATCTATCTATCTATCTATCTATCTATCTATCTATCTATCTGTCTGTCTGTCTGTCTGTCTGTCTCTCTGTCTGTCTGTCTGTCTCTCTGTCTATCAGTCTATCTGTCTATCTATGCCACTTCAAGCCTCGCGAATTATTGTTTCTTGCACTTTCCCTGGAGCAGTTGGCGACCCGGCACACAATCTATATAACGCAAACATCACCTCTGTAGCATGACAATTAACATAATTATTATTATTATCTCGTGTACCTCGGCCCTCAATCTAGGGTGGAGATGATTAGTACGGAGATTCATCGGTTGAGAGAAACAGACGATAGTTGTACGGCGTGAAACCAAAGATATCAGGCTGTACTATCTTTGGTGAAACTTTCACCGGACGCCTGACCCCAATTTCGACTGAATCAAGGAGTGATGTGTCTCTACTTTTTTTGGTCTCCGATCTATGGCCAAGCGTAAGTAAGTAGGGCCAGGTTCGAATCACCGAGATCTAGTCTAAACTTTAATCTTAAACAAAAGTTCCAATTAAGTGGCTCCCCAATTATCTTCTTTTGTTTTAAAGATACAATCACCTCTCTCTCTCTCTCTCTCTCTCTCTCTCTCTCTCTCTCTCTCTCTCTCTCTCTCTCTCTATCTCCCATCCGCATCTCTTTCTATCCCCCCTCCCCTTCCCCATAAACCGCCCCTCTTTTCCCAACAGTGGCTACAGAGAAAATGTGTTTGAGATAACACAAATACAAGAACCATAACAGTTTTATGTTCACTATAAAGAACGTTTTATTTCTGAGTTTGACAGACAACATAACTGAGGACAGATTTGACTTCAGGTGAGAAAAGCTTCTCATTCTTTTGCCCTAAAAGTCTGGAACTCCTTGCTCCAGGATCTCAGAGAAATAACAAATCGTAATACTTTTTTATCTGTCCAAGACTCATTTGTTTAATTCCTAGTCAAAGTGTGTTAGTAAAAGTTGATATGTCGTTGGGTTTGTTTTTTTCTTTTTTACGGCTGGCCTTACGTGTATATAAGTATATTGTATGGTTGTGAAAGTTCTTTGCTATGTGGTTGAACTGGTTTATTTTTTCTTGTCACTGTTGAATATTTTATCTTGTGTAAATCACTCAGTGATCATGTGATTGATGTAAATTGCTCAGAGCTTATACTCGTGTGGGACAGAGTGCTATATAAATGCAATCTATCGTTAATAGTATTATACATTTATTTTTTCTTCTTTTATGTCTCTTTCAAAACAACTAAACGAAACTGAAAAAAAGAGAAAAAAATTAACGACTGTGTGAACTCACGCGGCCAGAGTGGTGAAGGTTGAGCCTCCCCTGTGGTCATCTCGGCACTCCATGGGACCGGGGGACAGCTGTGACGTCATGTTGACCATCTCCAGGGCTGGGGAAGTGGCTTGTTTGTTCATTGTTTGTTGATTCGGTAAGTAAGTGAGTTTATTCAGTGTTTATGGCCGTTGGCCCACATCACATCATACAAAACACTCAGTGGGTGGTTGGCGGGTGCTCTGGTGTGGTTTGCTCCTTCTTTCCTATCAAACAACTATCGTCTGTATCTATCCTCCTTCTTTTTTATGTTTGTTACTCTCTTGTAACACCTCTAATCTTCGGCACTTATATGACCTAATTGTGTTGTAAGTGCCGTAAAACCCGTACTAAAACTAAATATAAAACACTCATCTGTTGAATAAGATTTCCATAATGAAAAAGTACAGGTTGAGCACATTTCTTATAATGGGTTAAATATTGCATAAAATTCATGTCACTTGGCCGGGTCAGGCTGTGAGGAATTACATGTAACAATTTTCTTTGATAGACAAAATTTGGACAACAGAAAATAAAGTGAAATTCATTTTCAATTTCATGAGAGTTACACCTCTCACAAAAGGGTGAATGTATTAATTTCCACCGATAAAGAATAAAGATTTTTTATTAAATGGAAGGCTATAACTTTTTAGCACGCCTACGACTCTTCCGTTCCAATACCGTGGGAGGTTGATGATAATATACATCCAGCTGTTTCTTGAAACAGAATTGTAAGAGAGAAACATTATACTTGCGACAGAATTCTTCGTCTAAGTTCTGCACAGAATGATCAACCAGCGTACGATTTATTTCACTGAAAAATGTTAGTGCTTCCAACACTTTGAGAAAACCAGGTGCATGTACATCTAACATTTTTGATCTACAACACAACTAAATAAATAGCACCACTTAGATCTTTTTCTAGATCGAGACTCTAGGTAAAATATCTATATCAGCTTGAATAAATGAAATGATCATGAAAGAATTAAAAAGTTTTGAAATTTTGAAATCACTTTATCAAACATTTAAAAAACCCACTGTTTAAATCACTTGCATTGCCTTTCGAATTTTTGTTTACATTAATTCTACTACTACATATTATACTAAATGATCAACTATAGAAATGAAAGAAAATTAAATGTTAAAAATAATATGTAATTGATAGATATGATATTCGTCAATATACAAGTATAACACTCTTAATAATTACTTTTTTTTTGGAAATAATAAAAGCTGCTTCCCTTGTTATTCTGATATTCTTACCTCTTCTTAAGAAATCCAGAATATCGGAAATCGATAGACAAAAACTAATCTAGATGTCTGTATGTATGTATAGTATAAGGTTTTACGGCGCTCGCAACTGCTTAGGTCATATGAGCGCGCGAAACACAAGTTGTTCACCTCTG